GTTCATTAAATATTTATTTAAAATTTATTAAAAATTTTAATAATTTTTTTAATATAATAAAATTAACTAAGGTGCTTTTTATTTAACTAGGGCATCACTTACACATTGTATATATATGGAGGCTTATTGAATACACGTTGTTTAGCCTCTTTTGCACGTTTAATTGCATCATAACACTAGAGAGTTAGATAGACAGATAATAACTAGGAGAAAATAAAGAGAGAAATGAAATGACACAAGAAATTACATGAAGACTGAACATAAAATTGCCAATACGTATAGGGTGAGTACAATGTGAGGCCTTCCTAATGTTCTTCACGCTCTGGTTGAGCAATCACGGAGGATATGTAGAAGCGGCTCTTAAAGTTGGAGAGCAATTACTTTTAATTAACATAGTTGACCGTCAATTTTTTTTTCTTGGGGATCAGCAAGAAAAAGGGATATTATTAATATAAAATATAAAAGATACTCCGCCATTACAACAAACTATTAATTTACACGTGGAAAGATATGAAAATCTAAATTATGCGAGTCCAATCATTAGTCTACTACGCAACTTGGGCCTAAAGGTCCACTGGCATTAGCCAGTTTGTTAGGTGCATTCCTCCCTTTTTCTGGACGAGTTTCGAACTCGTCCCATGTTAAAATGTTAAAAAAAAAACATTAGTCTACTACAATTTTTTTTTTTTTTGCACTTGACTCTTGAGATTTAATGACACTAGTAATTGAAAAGTGCATTCCTTCGTCTCCTGAGTTTCTAAACCGTCTCATGTAAAAAAGTTCAAAAAAAAATAACAATTTTTTTTTCTTTATTTTGGCCGAGGCCTACTACAATTAACCGAGTCTATGATGAGGACCTTGATATCCGATCCAATTAGGCTGCCGTTGGAGAATTAAACCACAACTCTTGAGAAATATCAGCATAAAAATGAACTTTAATCCAATTATACGCATGAAACCTAACCGACTCTAATACCTTCTGCTGGCTGTCCACATTATCCTCGAAGACATTTCGGTTTCTCCATAACCTTAGAACAAAAAACCATAGCATTTTCCATATATTCCTGAGTGAGACTATCAATTAGAACATAGTTGATTGTCCAACACAGAGTGATTTATTGACGATTCCAAAGCAGAAAATATTCGAATACTAAAAGCTTGAGTTATGTAGAAGCTAGATGGGCCCTCCTCGTCTGCTTTCTTTCTTCACTCTTTCTTCTCAAATCTCTCTTTCCACGAATGCAACCGAAGCTTCATTTTTTCTCTTTCTTGGTGAAAAAACCGAAGTTTCATTGCATTGACGGATATTCATTTTCAGGGAAATTAATTAATGTCATTTAGTGAAGCTATTGTCTCCAAATAACGGTGAACATTGGGAAGAAACCTAACTGAGTTCTCAATTATGAGCATTTAAGGTTATCAAACTCAGGATTCTACCTAGAACGAAAAAGGGGAGATTGAATCGTAACTCAAAAAGTAAGATTCTGTCAAATCAAATTTATATATTTTATAATTTAAATTTAAACAAAAAAAATTAAA